CAGATGCTCAACACTGGAATATGTTCAAGTTAACTTATGTGTTCTACAGGTAAAGGACGAATGCTCCCATTCATCCCAAGAGATCTTCTAAGGGGCGGGGAGAGGGAGAGAAGTGAACCCAAAATATCTCCACCCAAATGCTGTCTAAATATAAGTGCAGGAATTCGAAAAATGTAAAAGAACTCAGGGCATAAAGCACCTGGAACCCCTTCTTGATTAAACAACTTGAGAAGAAAATAGGATGAATCAAATTAAAGAACTCAAAAATGTAGAAATGATATAAAGGTTGTGAATTATCACTGAATCTATTTTAAAATTATAGTTGCCTTAAATATTGTTAGAATTGGCTTTTAAAATTAAATGTGAAAATTAAAAATCTTGAAAATACAAAAATTATAATATGAATAACAAATATTTTGGAGTTATAGAAAAGGGTGGTTGGAGACAATGGGAAAGTATGAGTGTCCTCCTTATCTTTTATGATCTAAAATTAAAACATGTAGTTTGGGGGAGAGGGAGAGAAAGAAAAAAAGAAAATAATAACAAAACAAATATAATAAAATAATCAACAACAACAACAAAAAACCCAAAATTTAAAAAATAAGGGGAAAAATGCCAAAAAACCCAATCATGTAGTTTTTAAAAAGTGAGTGTGACATCGTAATGCTTTTTACAATCTATTTTCTCAACATTTGTGAGCTCCTTTATTAAATACTGCCTCTTGTGGTTAAAAACAACAGCAACATTTATTTGAAGTTCAACAACTGTTCAGTATCTTTTTCTTCTGATAAAGTAAAACAAAATTAAATGTTAATGTTTTTGTTTAAAACATTGAACAAGTTATAATCTTTATAATAGTAATATACTCATCTTTATATCAATACCTACATAGAAAGATTCTGCAATAACTTTCAATTAATGTTGTATTTAGTATATTTTTTTCTACCAGAAGTTGAGGTGATGGTTTTTATCTTCTTTTTGAAACTTTTTCTGCATTACCTAAACTCTTTAATAATAAGCATTTGTGATTTTTACATATTATAAACATAAAGTGATTTTGCCTATAAAGAAAAAGAGAAACAACTCTCTCGGTTCTTTTACAAATAACACAGGAACTTTGCAGCATATGAACCTGCCTGGAACTGCATGGATGTGTGGTGCTGCAGAAAATAGAGAATTCATATAAACTCATTATCTATTCTGTTATCTAATCTTTGTAACTTTTTGCTCTTCTTTAAGCCTTGCCAGATCTGTAGGAGGCAAAGAAAAACTGCATCCTCCAGAACAGACAAATCCTGTAACAGGATATAGTTGTCTCTATTTTCCTACCAAGTCATCCTCTAATCTTAGGATGGCAATGGGATGTTTAAAATGAAATAGGGCACCTAACTAATTATTATATTAAAAGTACAAAATAAGAGATTTAAGGTTACATGTTATATGATATTCCTTTTTAGTACTGTATCCTGAAACCAAATTAGCAATTTTCTTTTAAGCAAAACAGAAAAATCACCCAGACCATTCCTCTCTTTCTGATCTTTTAACCAGTACCTTGTTAGTTTGGCCTTCAATGATATTTATGTCAACTGTGATGATGAAAAATACGAAAGTTTGATTTAAAGTCCTGAGGCTTTTTTTCACTCAGAATTTTGAAGAATATTTAACCTGTAGTTAAATGGTTTTAGGTGGGCAATGACATCTCAAAAGTGGCCTTGTTCTGTGAAGCCATTTCCCTATCTCTCTAAGTGACGAAAAACTACACTTCCTGGGGGTAACCTAAGGCATGGGCATGACCAAGCTTGCTGGGACATGGAAACAGGGCATTTTCAGAGGCTTTACACAGATAAACACAAAAGAAAATATAAAACTATATCCCAGTGTTTTTAACATGACCTTTTATGTATTGTTTTGATTTTTACTATTTTACTAGAGGCCCAGTGCACGAATTCCTGCACAGGTGGGGTCCCTCGGTGTGGCCTGTGGGGATTGGGCCGAAACTGGCAGTCCAACACCACCTGCCACTCCTGCCAGCCACCCCCGCTCATCCCAGCCCCACTGCACCTGCTGCGGGCTTGCACCCAGTCAGTCCTGATCGGGAGAGGCTCATGTCTGGCACCCATCCTGTAGGGCTGTGGTGGGGGGAGGCCGGGATGCAATCAGCCCTCCAGGCGGGCAGTGGGACACCCTTGCCAGCCCAGGATCCAGATCCATCCCATTGACGTTCCCACAGGAGCCACCTGGTGGCTGCTTTTATATTGTTTCTTCCTTGCGGAGCGTCTAGGGAGGGAAAGTGACCGTGGTGCCCAAGGCTGACTTCCAGGAGGCCAGCAGCACTGTCGGGATCCTGCTGGTGGTGCTGGTCCATCGGTGCCTGGCCCATTCTCCAAAGATTGGACTTGCAGGACTACTGAGGGAGGGAGTGGCTGCTGCCTGGTGGTCAGTGTGCATCATAGCAACCAGTTGACCAGTCATTTGGTCATTCGGTCGTTCAGTTGCTTAGGCTTTTATATATATAGATTTCTTTTTAACAAAAGGCATATCCTATATAATAAAAGCGTAATATGCAAATTGACCAAATGGCAAAACAACAGGTGGAACGAAGGGGAGTGGGCCTAAGCCAGCAGTTGGACATCCCCCAAGAGCTCCTGGACTGTGAGAGGGTGCAAGCTGGGCTGAGGGACCTCTCCCCCACACCCCCCACCCCCGTGTGCATGAATTTCATGCAACAGGCCTCTAGTATATATATATATATATAAAATCATAGACCACAATACAAACAGTTTATTGTGAATTACAGAATGTCTTAATTCTCTCAGTTTCCATTTCCTGCTCTATAAAACTAGGATTGCCAAGTCCTGCTCTACCTATTGAAATTGTGTGAAAATAACTTACATGAAATCATGCATCTAAAAATACTTCATAACTACAAACTAATTTACATAAGCATTTTGTTATTAGTATTTTAGTAGATCCAAATTTCTGTTTTGATGGTCACTGGGTTAGGTAAATAGGAACTCAGTACAACATATCTACAAATAATAAGTTTAATTTTTTTTAAAAAAAGTCTTTTTAGTTCATAATTTCTAATCCCTATAATACTTAGAAATAAAAAGTAGACCATAATTGTAGTCTCCATCAGCATCTGAATTGTACCACATCTTCATTGTTTTTTTACCCTCTTCTTAAATATACCCCCTCAAAAATCTATGCATAACTTTTGCCTAATTACATCAGTCTCTTTTAAAAAGTCCTAAGCATTAGAAAATCTTTCCTTATATTAAATAAAATATACACTCCAAAATTTCCACTAGGCACCCTAATTCTTCTCCATTATTTTTTCTACATCTACCTTAATATATCCAAAACAGAATTTTCAACTTTTTCTTCAAACAAGTTTCCCTACACCTATACCAATAGACCATTCACACATCGTCATGTTTCCTTCACTCGTCTTCTTCTCTAACCAATTCCTTGTGATGCAATCAAGCAATTCTAGCGAGTGCTACCTTCAAAAGGTAACCTGAAGGTAACCATTTCTCACTGACTCTACTGCCACCACCTTGGTCCAAGGTTCCCTTACCTCTCACCTGAGCAACCACAATAGTCCCCAGATTGGTATTATTCTTTCCAATCTTTCCGCAACACAGTAGCCAAATTGACTTTTAAAAAACATACTGCAATGGCTTCTTTTTGCACTTAAAACCCTAAGTTCTTATGCTGCCTATAAAGTCCTACATGATCTGGTCCCACTTGCTGTCAGACCTCCTCACTCATTCCCTATCATATTTCATCTGCTCCAGCCAAACCCACCTTCTTGTTGCTCTTTGAACATGCTAGCTTCATACCCACCATAAGGTCATTACCTGACTCTTCTCTTTGCATAGAGTATACTTGGATATCTTTGCATGACGGGCTTCTCGTCACTTAGGTTTCTGCTCAAATATCACTTCCAGCCATAGAGATTGAATGTGTGTGTCCACACAAAATCCATTATGTTGAAATCCTAACACCCAAGGTGATGTTATTAGGAGATGAGGCCTTTGAAGTCTCTGCCCTCATATATGGGATTAGTGCCCCTATAAAAGCAGCCCGAGAAAGCCCTCTTGCTCCTTCTGCCCCATGAGGTTACTGCGACAGGATGACTGTCCATGAGGAAGTGGGGCTTCACCAGACACTGATTCTGCCCCGGCTTTGATCTTGGACTTCCCAGCCTCCTGGGCTGTGAGAAATCAGTTTCTGGAGTTGATAAGCCACCCGAACAGACCTAGACTGTTTGTTCAAATGGTGTAGTTTATATTGAACACCGTTTTCCTCCTGGGAGTCTGGAATTTAGGTAATGTGCTAAGGAGACTAGCCCCCAATAAAAACTCTGAGCGCCCAGTCTCTAGTGAGCATACATGTCGTCGTAATATTTTTGTTAATCCTTACCTGAGGATATTTTTCCATTGATTTTTTAGAGAGAGTGGAAGGGGGAGAGAGAGAGACAGAGAGAAACATCGATTTGAGAGAGACACATTGATAGGTTGCCTCCTGCATGTACCCTGACCAGGGCCAGGAAACCTGCAACCAAGGTACGTGCTCTTGACCAGAATAGAACCCAGGACCCTTCAGTCCACGGGCCGTGTTGCCATAATTTGATGCTGGTAGAATTAAGCACATTCTGTGTGATCCACTGGAAAGGGTTTCTTGGGAACTTGCACCTGTTTTCCTGTTGACTTTGCCCCATATGCCTTTTTCCTTTTGATAACTTTCTTTTATATTAATTTCACTGTAATTAATATTAGCCATGAGTACAACTATAAATATCTCTGAACCTGGGGGTAGTCTTGGGGACCCTGGACAAAGCAACCAAGAAGCTCACCTGGTCTTCCCGGATGAAAATACTCAAATAGAACAACACGTAAAGGAATTCCATAACATGGTGATAGATCCAGTATAAAAACAATGTCATCCTGTTCTGAAGTATATTACCCTGACCATGAGCTTCATTTATTACTTACGTGACTGGCCTATAGATCTCCTTAACACCAATGAACTGAAGTTGCTCCATAATGTCTGGGATACTTGCACATCGAGCAAGATTAATTCTTGGGTAATAAAGAAGGTATGAGAGACACATCTCACTCCTGGTGCTTAGTCCTCCCTGGAAATGGAGATGTTTTATTTAGAAAAGTATATTCGACTAATTGACACTTAGAGCACAGAAACCACCAAGAGCATACAGTTCCTTCCAGTGTTAAAATGTAATAAATCTTAAAGGTGAAAAATAATCTAAGTGACAATTTATTTATAAATTAATGTGGTGGCTATTATATAATGACTTTACAAATTGCAAAAATATAATGTCTTACTTGATGAGCAAGGCAGGATTGAGTAAAGGGAGAAGCCATTCTACAAATGAGGCTGCAACTGATGCCTCAGTAAATATCATATTTAAATTATTCTTGAGCTGAGGGGGCTATTAGAATTTTACCAAATTGTAGGAAGAAAGCTGGGCCTTTGTAACCTCATATCAACCAGTCATTAGCTGCTGGCCGCCCCACTGGAGGGAGTGTAACCTTAAGGGAGGCATTCCCTGACACCAAGGGCAAGGCCCAATGAGGGATACAGTTGTGAGCTCTTATCATCTGATATTTTCAGTGGCTGAGGTGTAGCTGTATTGGCCCTGAAAAGGGAGCGTATCCAACCAGAGCACCAAAATATACACTAAAATAATAATTTATTATATACTTAGTAAAATACGTTATGAAAACAGAATTATATACAAGGCATACCTTGTGTATGCTAATATTCAATTCTCCTCTTCCCCACACTAAACAAAGATGATGATCATCTTGATATTTTGTTTGTTATTTTATTGCTTTCCATCACACTTTACATTCAGTTCACTGATGTATGTATCCCAAACAATATAATGTTTACTTTTGTATGTTCTTGAACTTTAGATACATGATAGTCTGGTGCAAATTTGCTCTTTTCAAGCAACATTATGTCCTTCAGAATGGCTTTAGTTCATTAATTTTCATAACTATATACTATTCATATATTATATGAACATATTATATTTATTTGTTTTCCTTTTGATAAATAATTAAGCTGTTCCCCAGTTTTTGTTCCTGGGTTGTTGCATGTTACTATGAATATTTTATATATTCCTCTCCTGGAACACTTCCCACAAAAGTAACCTCAAGGTTAAGTCCACATAGGAATGGAACTGGTTAGAGCATATCTCAATCTTCAACTTTACTAGAGAATGGCATGTTTTCCCCAAAGTGGTTTTATAAATTTATATTCATCAGCATATGAGGGGTCCAATTTCAGTACATTGGAATTACAATTTTAAATATTGCCAAACTGGTAAGTATAAAATATCTCATTCTGGTTTACATTTGCATGACCTTGGTTTCAAATGAAATATAGGATCCTTTCATATGTTTATTATCTGTTTGGGCTTTTATTTTTTTGTTCTTTTTCTATTGTATATTTGTTTTATGTTACAGATTAATGAAATTTCTTTCAAATGCTGGATAGTAATGCTGTTTTAATCTATGTATTGAAACTATTTTTTTTTAGTTTAAAACTTCTTTTCACCTACTTAACCATGTTTTTTATAACCAAAAGCTTTAATGTAGTCAAATTAATCAATGTTTTAATTCATAGTTTGTGCTTTTTATGTTTTGTTACAGAGTTCTTACCTACACCAAAGTCATAATGATATATTTATATATTTTTCTCCTAAAGGTTTTTAAATTTTTCTCTTCACATTTAAATATTTTTAATCTATCTAGAATTGACTTTCTGTATATTGTGCAAGACAAAGACATAATTCTATTTTTTTCATTTGGATACCTAAGTGTGTCAGTATTCTTTAATGAAAAGTCCATCCTTTTTAACTTATCTGAATGCCATGTCTATCTTAAACCAAGTTTCCATATAAAGGATTTGTAGGTTTGTTTCCAGGATCCCTACTCTGTTCCACTCTTCTAACTCTGGACTCAAAACACACGACGAATCACCATAGCTTTAAAATAAGCCTTCAGAGTTTTGACGTTCTGATCGATGATTCTCCGTCTCTGGATCTGTTTTTGTCCATCAGTTTATGTTGTTCATTATATTCCATAAATGAGTGAGATCATGTGATATTTATCTTTCTCTGACTGAGGGAAGGTAGGGGAGGATGGGGGTAAGGGGGAGAGATCAACTAAAGGACTTGTATGCATGAATATAAGCCTAACCAATGGACACAGACAACAGGGGGGTGAGGGCATGCGTGGGGTAGTAATGGGAGGATAAGGACACATATGTAATATCTTAATCAATAAAGAAATTAAAAGTAAAAATAATAAAAAATAAATAAATAAATAAATAAAATAAGCCTTCATCTCCAGTAGTCTGTTTCTCATCTTATTCTTTTTAGTACTGTCCTGCCTATTATTAACATTTTGCTATTCCATGTAGATTTTAGAATCAACTTTCTTCATGTAAAGCTAAAACTGTAAAATATTTAGAAAATTAAACTAGGAGAATAACTGCTGTTATGGCTAGGTGAAGATTTCTTAATACCAAAATCCCAAATCATAAAATCTCTCTGAACTTTTTACTGAAATTATATCAAATTTATAGACAAATTTAAATAGAAGAATTATTTTTATTTTTTAAAGGGATTATTTTCTTAAAAAAAAGATTTTTATTGATTTCAAAGAGGAAGGGAGAGAGAGAGAGAGAGAAACATCAATGAAAAGAGATAAGAGAAAACCACTGTTTGGCTGCCTCCTGCATGCCCCTCCACCTAATCGGGGTCGAGCCCACAACCCAGGCATGTGCCCTGACCAGGAATTGAATTGTGACCTCCTTGTTCATAGGTCGACAATCAACCACAGAGCCACTGAGGATGGGAAAGAATTATTTTTATTTTACTAAGTTTTTCTATCCATGAACACAGTACCTCTTAATTTCTTTAGGTGTTTCTTTAATGTCTTGCAATACAGATTTATAATTTTTTCCATAGAGATCAAACATAGCTAATGTTAGATTTTATTTCTATAGAACTTAAGAGTTTTTAGTCATATTTTCTTATATACTAAAGTATAATTAATTTTAGATATTACCAAGTTTGAGATTTTTGATGTAGAAAATTACGTATCTGTGAATAAAGTGTTTTTCGCCTCTTGGCTTCTTTTCTAGCCTTGTCTCTCATTTTCTTCTTTCTCAGTGCAATTTTGAATAGAAACAGTGATAACGAATATCCTTGTCTTCCTGATTTTCAACAAATACTTCATCTAATACTTCATTTAATTTGATATTTGCTATAGATTTTTCATAACCAATTTTTATCTTAAGAAAATTCTCTCTCTTACTCTTGGTTTGCTAAATGTTCCTCTCTCCCCCATGGCTGACTTAAATTTTAAGCTGAGGCATCTTTTTCCTTCAATATCTTAATTGAAGAATGGCACTAATATATTTTCTAATTTAAAACAATTTGATATTTCTTGGCAAAACCCAACTTGGTCCTAACATTATATTTTTATATAATGCATTTTTTTATAATGCAGGATCTGACAATACTTTGTCAAAGAGATTTCCATCAGGTACATATTGATGACCTCATACTGCCATTCTTAGGTTTAAGTTTAAGATTACGCTAACTTCATAAAATGAGTTGGTGAGAGATGTTTCCCCAGAAAAGATAAGTAAACCATGAATGATCTAATTATTTAATGTTTAGCAGAACTCCCCAGTAAATCGGTTGGGATAGAATTGCTGTTTGTGTCAGAAACCCCAAGGTCATGCAATTCGTTCTTCCTTTCAAAGTCTTGATTCATCTAAGTCCAGACTCATGTAGATGGTCATTAGTAACCACAGGTATTTTATTAATAATACTTGGTGAGGAAAAATTAAAAGACTAAGGGTATCTTTTCATGAAAGAGTCAATAAATTACAATGCAAATATGACCATAGTATCATTAGTTATTCTGATAAAATGCTAAAACAGGTCTGATTTCGCTTTTATGATGTTTCATGTTCAAGACATTCAGGGATTTTGCTTCCCAATGGGAATGTTTTTTAGCTCTTTTCCCTCTAAAACCAAAGTTTATTCCTCCCTCTCTCTCCACAGATAAATTTTAAAAATAAAAAATTTCTTACCCAAGTCATCTGGTCTCTATCTTTTGTGTTGTACCGACATTCGGTAATTAGATTATCTCCCTAAAACATAAAAGAATGAGCTTTCAGATTGCAGTTTTAGGCTGTTTCATTTATCTAATACATTTGTAGGCCAACAGTTTAACTTGCTATATGAAGGGATGCATTAAGTAATTTGATTCAAAAGAAGACCCTTGATTATTAAATTCTAGAATAATAAGCAAGCGAACAAGCAAGGTGCGCTGGGTTCATGTTCTAGCTGCATGACCTTCGGTCAGGAAATGAGTCACTGGGTACAATGTGCTCATCTAAAAAATAATAATAAAAATAGCACTTGTTTTGCACAGCTATTGCAAGGGGATTAAATGACAAAACACACATTTAATTTTTAGGAGAGATTAAACACTTCATAAATGTTAGCTATAGCTACTAGCTATTGTGATTATCGCTTCATTTACATTATTTTCTTTAAAGGTCTTTAGTCATGTATTTCCTTACAACAGAATTATGAGGCAAATTAATAGTAATTTACTTTTCCAGTGTTTTTCAATCTTTTGGACAATTCAGCACACATGGAAAACAATGATTTTTTAGGCCACCCACTCAGGAAAGTGAACAGGCTACTTATGAACCAAACACAGCTAGCTCTGTGTGCTAGCCCTCAGGCCTGCTCTCCGTGCTCTGCTCCTCAGGGGGACCAGGGATCAGTATCCCAACACACTTATACCCTACTCCCAGCACACCAGTTGGGAAACTCTGAGATAACACAATAAAACTGGTTGGAAAGCCTGAGACAAAACAACATAATAAGAGTGTGTAGGATCTTGATAATATCAGTGTTTCTCACACTACATCTTTCTATCCTCAGGGTGTAGCGAGGAATCTCTGCATGCAGAAATCTCTCATTTCAAAAATAGTATATCAGAACTGTACTTTCAAGAATGAAATAAGGGTAGGAAATTGTATGACGATCTTGATAGTCACGGGATAAAAAGTTTTGAAAAAAATGATTGCAAAAAAATTTTTTTAAGCCTTCATTATTGTAGGGCATAAAATTCTCTTCTGCTTCCTCCTGCCATGACCCCAAGTATTGTTGCAAGCAGATTACACAGCACAGTATAATTAGCTATGTCCCAAACACCTTTGCCAAATGAAAGAATTATCCTTATGATGATGCTTACTAAAATGAAACTTCTAAAAAAATATCCTATGGGGTAAGGAATCCCCTGATTTTCCCTTTACCATAATTGCAGCCAAAAGTTTCAACTGGGGAGTCAAATTAGAAAAGAGCAACGCTATTGCTCAGAACCTGATTTTTATATTCTTTTTAAATCAACTTGAAGCGCCCCTGGGAATAGTAAGAAAAGTGAGTTTTGATTTTGGAAAACAGATCAAACACATTCCATCTGGGTTGTGCAACACCCGTGGTGGGTGGCTTTAGGAATAAGGATACCATGCACAATTCATTTCACCACTAGAAACCTTGCTAATTATCAGCAGATATATGTCTCGTGACTTTTATAACATTCAGTGGGAAAAAAAAAATCACAACATTCATACTGGTAAGATGGTTCGTTCTTCCTTTAGGTACTGAAACTCCTGGAAATTGAAGTCAAAATTGTCATCATAAGCAAGTAATTTCATTTCTTCCCCTTTGCGAAAGTGACGGAGCCTGATGCCTCTGCCGGCCAGGTGAGCGTGGAGCAGAACAGCAAACACGTGGATCCCGCTTGGCTTTTCAGCTTCCAGAGCCTGCAGGGTGGGGAGTGAGGAGTGGGGAGAGTGGAAGACTTGATTAGCCCAAACAAGTGTGTATATTCAGACAGTTCTCATTCAAAGAGACTTGGAGAGACAACTGAGAAGAAAAGCTAAAGCAATTAAGTGAATGCTTGAGCCACCAAACATGTTGAATTTGGATTTTTCATGACATTCCTATCAGTATTATCATTATGAAACAATACTTGCTGGAAGAAAAGTAAAGCACTAATGCTACCCAGCTGGCATGGCTCAATGGTTGAGTGTCAACCAATGAACTAGGAGGTCACTGTTCAATTCCCAGTCAGGGCACATGTCCAGGTTATGGGCTCCATCAGAGAGAGAATCACTGATGGGCAAGAGGCAGCCCATCAGTGATTCTCTCTCACCATTGATGTTTCTATTTCTCTTTCCCTCTCTAAAATCAATAAAAAGATCCTATATAATAAAAGGCTAATATGCAAATCAACCGAACAGCAGAACAACCGGTCGCTATGATGTGCACTGACCACCAGGGGAGAGACGCTCAACGCAGGAGCTGCGCCTGGTGGTCAGTGAGGTCCCACAGGGGGAGCATTGCTCAGCCAGAAGCCGAGCTCATGGCTGGTGAGTGCAGCAGCAGTGGCAGGAGTCTCTCCCACCTTCACGATAGTGCTAAGGACCCCTCAGGGGATGTCCACCTGCCGGCTTAGGCCTGCTCCCAGCCTAAGCCAACAGGTGGACATCCCCCAAGGGGTCCCGGGACTGCAAGAGGGCGCAGGCCGGGCTGAGGTACCCCTCCCACCCCCCGCCCAGTGCACGAATGTCGTGCACTGGGCCTCTAATTTAATTAAAAAAAGAACTAATGCTGACTGAGGATTTACCGGATCACTCCTAAATGTTATCTTTCTTTTTCCTTCTTTTAGGAGGTAAAAAGGAAGTCAAGGCTCCTGGCAAAAATATCCCAGTATGTTAGTAACCTGCAATTTCAAACTCTTAAAAGGAGAAATTATTCCACACTAACAGATAAGAAAACCAAGTGGAAGAGGGGCATTAAGTGACTTGCCCATGATCCTACAGCTAGTAAGTGATGCCATGGCTATCTGAATTCTGGTCAAAATATCTCAGAAGAGTATGTTTCCACTTCACCAGCCTGCCACACTCCCTAAAACTTACATGCCAGCTTTTAATTCATAAAGAATACGATCCATCTTGAAACATGTTCATTGAAAAGAACTATACATGGAAGCACCCATTGTTAAATATTTATACACTAGAGGCCCAGTACATGAAATTCATGCATGGGTAGGGTCCCTAGTGGCTGCCGGCTGCTGGCCAGGGCCTCCCTTCATTCCGCGCTGCCTCCTGATGGTCAGTGCACATCATAGCGAGCAATCAAACTCCCTGTTGGTTGAACTCCCGAGGGGACACTTTGCATATTAGGCTTTTATATATAAAGATGTACTTATCTTGTCCAATATGTATTTTATATTAGATAAAGGGGGAAAAAACTATGAAGCAAAAAAAAGGAGAAAAAAATTGAAAATGGATAATGAAAAAAACAAATAGAGATGAAAGGTAAAGTTGACAAAGGAAACTACACAAATGGAGAAAGAAATTTTAAAGAATAAAGTAAAGTGTCCAATATGAAATAAACAAAGGAGGTGGGGCTAGGAAGAAAAACATGCTGAAAGTCATTCCTGTCTTTAGAATTCTACTCCTATAGCCTTCAAGATTTAAAAAAGCAATCAAAGGTCTTGCTAGAATGGTAAGTGTGACAACAAGAAAGACATTAATAATGAACAAGCATGGAATTTTCCAGTTTTCTAAGAGCAGTGATTAATCTGTAAATAGCAGCACATAGATGGAGACGAAGCATACCTCTTCCAGGCATTCCAAGGTGCAGTGACCCTCGGACTGGAACTCGGGCATACCGGGAGGGATGGTGTGGAAGAGGCTTACCCAGAGGCCAGCCTCTATCACCCCGGCATCATATTTCCTTATATCTATTGTGTGAAATAACCTCAGTCCCGAATTATCTATTAAGCCTAGAACAAAAGCAAATAAATAAAAGTGAGTTTTCGTTCTTAAAAGTAATTCCCTATATTCAATTGAAGTGGTTTGTTCATTTTCCCTAAAAATCTCACAAGGAAAAGGAATATAAGCAAAGATTGATGGAAGACAACATTCAGCTTCACAAATGGAAATTGAAAGTCAAGTTGCTATATTGCCTGCATACCACAGGAGAAATGTTTGTGTTGTCTACCTGACATATTCCACAATTATCTAACATGAAGACAGAATCCTAATGTCATTCATTAAAATGTAGAAGAACTCAATAAAAGTCTTATATTGTTTTCAAGTACAGTTCAGTGATATTTACATAAAGGTAAAAATTGCTTGGTCCAGAAGCCATCTGCTGATGGAGAAAACTATTAATTGCTAACTTTCTTTATAGTGTGTCATCATTCTTTCAGTTGTTCAATAGTTATTCAATCTATATTAATGGAGACTTTATTATATAAAAGCACTACAATAAGCATTGTGGAATGAAAGATGAATAACGCACATTCCTTGCTGTGACATACTTATAAGGAGGGAAATTATGAATCTCAAACTTCAAAAATCTGTTCCACTAATTTTGAAATTAGTTGACTCCTTCCTATAGTGACAACGTACTACCTGTGAGTACTAAATTGACCCTTTGGATCAATTAGCTTATATATAATTTAATATTAATCGGTATGATTATTTTATTATTTTTCTTTATACTATAATTTCCACAGATGGAAACAGTGTCAGTTTTTCACAAACATTATATCATTAAGCACAGACCCAGCACATAGTTGGTGTTCAGTATTTGCTGAATAATTGCATGAATCAATGTATAATGAAAACTTTATTATCTTTCAATTTTTGGTTTTGGAATATTATATAAGTGAATTCAGAAATCAAATGTAAATAATTACTGCTCTTCATTTTAATATCCTATCACACACTTTCTGTATAATTACTTTTTGTGTATACTTATGGTTTCCTATCACATAAAAAAATACTATTTTCTAGTGTGATGAATGGTAGTTTTACATATGTATAGATAGAAAATGTTTCACAAGCATCCTGTATTTGGAGCTAATTTACATGACAAAGGGGGAAAGGTCTATTCTTCTACTTCCTGGTAAGTAGTATGAAAATGTTTTTTTAAGATTAATGACCACAAGGCCCATCTGCCTTGTTCATCACAAGTAATGACTATTGTCCCAGTTTAAATAGTACCCCCATTTACTCTAAAAAGTACCCTAATTTGAATCACAAACATATAAGTTAATTCTTTCTAACAATGGATGCTATTTTATTTCAACTCTAAGACAGAAGTTACAAAACTTTGTAAAAATCATAGATAGAATATATAAAAAATAAACTCACCTTCCTCATATGTCGGATTGTCATAATGAACTTCCAGGAGCACATAACGAGGATCTAATGGAGTGCCGAGGGACAACCCAACATGAGGTGGATAGGAAAAAGCCTAAATTAGGAAAATTTCATGAGAAATTGCCCTGTGAAAGTCCCTGAAAGTTCTACTCTACTCAAAAATCAACTATTCTCAAAGAGATTTCAACATACTGAAACTCCAACAATGTATCGTTGATAAAATAAAATGGCTTAAGAAAAAAATTACTTTCCTTGGAAAGAAAAATAAACCACCCTCATATCAAAAATAGTGTATAGAACTCTATCCAGTTTTGCTCAGGGGATACAGCATCAGCCTGCAGACTGAAGGGTCCTGGGTTTGATTCTGGTCAGGGGCACATGCCCGGGGTTGCGGGCTAGATCCCCACTAGGGAGTGTGCAGGAGACAGTTGATCAATGATTCTCTCTCATTATTGATGTTTCTATCTCTCTCCCCCTCTCCCTTCCTCTCTGAAATCAATAAAAATATATATTTTAAAAAATAACAGTGTATAAAGCTTTACTTATAAGTACATATTGGAATCATAGCGGAAAAAAAATGATCACTTAAGTGTGTTACATCTCAGTAATCATTAGCCCCACCTCTCCACCAATAGCCCAGGCAAAAATCACGGTCTCGCAGGTGTGGAAGGCGTCGGGCATGTTAGGGTGGTAGCACTCATGGCCGTAGTCCAGAACACTGTCGTTCAAGTTGCTGTTGCACTGATAGAGCAGGATGTGATGGACCAGACTCTCATGGCCTCTCTGTATCACTGGCTCAACCTACACACGCACAAAGCAGAGGGAGGATGGGATGAGTTAAATCTGTAACACTACCAACAGTAAAAAGTATATACCATTTGCAACAGCATGGATGGAACTGGAGAGCATTACGCTAAGTGAAATAAGCCAGTCAGAGAAAGATAAACATCACATGATCTCACTCATTTATGGAATTTAATGAACAACATAAACTGATGAACAAAAACAGATCTAGAGACAGAGAAGCATCGATCAGACTGTCAAACCTCAGAGGGAAGGTAGGGGAGGGTGGGGATAAGGGGGAGAGATCAATCAAAGGACTTGCATGCACACATATAAGCCCAAGGCAATGGGGGGAAAAGGACACATATGCAATACCTTAATCAATAAAGAAAAATAATAATAAAATAAAATAATAAAAAAGTATATGGAAACTCTTTGTACTTTCTGTGTAATTTTCTGTAAACCTAAGCTCTAAGAAATAAAGTCTATTAATTAAAGCAATAAGTAAATAAATAAATCTTCCTACCACACCACAAAAGCATCAAACTAGCATAAATGATTATCAGTTTTCAAGAAATGGTTTTCTCCAAGCATGTAAAGGTTATGTGGTTCAGGTATAATTTGTTGTGAAGATGATAATGACAATGATGATGATGATGACTACAACCATGGCAACAGCACAGAGGAGATAAGCATTTATCCAAGAATCATAGGACTTGACTAATCTGTTGTTTCTTTAACTCACCTTTGTTTCCCTTGCCATTCTGCATAACATGTTTCAAAACTTGCTTTCCTTCTTCCAGGCTCTTTTTCCTGGCTCTTCTTCAGCCTCCCTATCTCCCACCTCAAAATGTTATCTTCACTAATCCCTACTGGAGGTGAAAGATTGTATCTCATTCATCTATTTATCTATCTATCTTTCTGATGCTGAGCATAGAGCTGGACACAAAGTAAAGCTCAATAATGGATATTTTTATTTTAGGATTTAGAAACAAATTCTATTTTCTCTAATAGTAAAATTAGAATGTGGGAGAGAGGAAAAAGAAAACATTGTAGTGATGTGCTCCTGTGACACCTCTCAAATTAGAAGAGGGGAGGTAGAAACCAGTGAAAATAGAATAAGCAGTGAAGCTAGGCCTCAGGGTGAAAGCACGGTCCATGAGAGCATGCTCCTTCCATCCTCCCTTCTGTGAGTTCCCTTCATGACACTCTCCCACTTCGGTCCAGGAGCTCAGAGAGAGGTAAGTGTATCCTCACATCACAAAGAGCCTTATATCCAGAGCAAGTGTGTGAACCCTGTACTTAGCCTAGCTGCATCATTGGTGTTCCAATCGGTCACATGGTTCTTTAAACCTTCTGTTTATCTGACACAGAATCCCTGATGTGCTCCTAGATTTCCAAAAGGCTCGCTGTGTTAGGGCTCATCCACATTCATGCTTTTAGCCTCCACTACTCAAATGCAGGTAATGCATTTTGAAACTCTAGCTTGTTCTCTGCTTCAGACATGCATGCAAAGATGAAGTGTGTTCAGCTATTTTCTCCTAAGGCTTTCCTACAGAGTTTTCTACCGAGTTTTACCATTTTTTAAAAATAGTCAAATCCAAGCAGCAGAAGAGGGAAATGGTACATAGTAGGTAAAGATCTGAATAGGCAGTCAGGGACTTGAGTTTTTAAATCCAACTTTATTTTGTGTTGCAAGTGAGTTATGCCTTACCATATGCACACTTTTCACATCACATACAGAGAAATGACATTGGCATGGCTTTGTCTGCACTTGTCTTTAAAACACTGTGTTCCCTGAAGGCAGAAACATTTTTTTTTGCTTGGAAATGACAGTTATGATTCAAGCATGGTTGCATAATACACAATGATTACACAAAAGGGTAACCCAGAATGTCTATTGGATTTTAGTTTCCACATGTAGTTTAAGCTTTCTTGTGAGACTTGGTTTATTTGGGCACCTCAGTACTCCAAGGGGGACAGGGCCCTGCTAATATGTACACAGTAAGATATTTAGGCACATGCGAGCTTTTTGCTAAGTGTCTTATAAGTTCAGGAAGAACCTGTAGGTTGTACTGAGTTCTACAAGGTAGGTCCTGGAAAGGAGTTGTTAGGACAAAATAGTTGGCTGTTGCCAAGGCAGCCACAGAAACTAGCAGTCTTCATCGAGGCATAGCAAGAGTGAGCTAAGAGTGCATGCAGAAATGTGAGGCTGGGTGGTGCCTGACATTAAGATGCTTAAAAAATGGGCGAGGAACCTAAATAGGCACTTCTCCAAAGAGGACATACAGATTGCCAATAGGCATGTGAAAAGATACTCAATGTCACTAATCATAAGAGAAATGCAAATTTAAAGCACAATGAGATATTACCTCACACCTGTCAGAATGGCAACCATCAATAAATCAACCAACAACAAGTACTGGCGCGAATGTGGAGAAAAGGGAAACCTTGTGCACTGCTGGTGGGAATGCAGATTGGTGCAGTCACTGTGGAAAGCAGTACAGAGTTACCTCAAAAAATTAAAAATGGAACCTCCTTATGACCCAACGATTCTACTACTGGGAATTTATCCTAAGAAACTTGAAACACTAATTCAAATTAATATATGCATCCCTATGTTCATTGCAGTGTTATTTACAATAACCAAGATTTGGAAGCAGCCCAAGCTCCCATCAGCAGATGAGTGGATAAAAAAAAAAGCTATGGTACATTTGCACAATGGAATACTACTTGGCCATAAAAAGGACATCTTACCCTTTGCAACGGCATGGGTGGACCTGGAGAGCATTATGCAAAGTGAAATAAGCCAGTGAGAGAAAGACAAGTACCATATGATTTCGCTCATATGTGGAATCTAAAGAACAAAATGAACTAACAAGACAAACAGTGACAGACTCATAGAGGACAGGCTGACAGCTATTGGGGAGTCGGGGGGGGGGCAAGCGGAGGGAAAGAGAGAGTATTTTAGGCAGAGGGAAGAGAGAGAGAGAGAGAGAGAGAGAGAGAGAGAGAAAGAAAATTCATGAACATGAATAACAGTGTGGTGCTTTCCAGGGAGAAAGGGGGCGTGGAGGATGTTATAGAGGGGATAAATGGTAATGTATGGAGACTTGACTTGGGGTGTTGAACACACAATACAGTGTACAGATGATGTGTTGTAGAATTGTGCACCTGAAACCTGTATAATTTTGTTAACCAATGTCCCCCCCAAGTAAATTCAATAAAAAGAAAAGAAAAAAGATGCCTCAAATAAACTTCTTCTTTGTCGTTGTCTTCTTCTTCTTCTTCTTCTATTTTTTTAGAGAAAGGCTTCTCTTATTCATGAAAGATGGAGAAAACATAGATGAAATGTTCCATAAACACCAATAAAGAGGAAAAAAGTATTCTGTCCCTATTATGTTACAACTGGTTTCATCTCTTTTCTCTCATTACTCTGAATAACAGCTTGAATTTCACTGAATAATCATAATAGAATGCTTGAAAATTAACATATACCATAGCTGCAAAATTAATACTTTTTCATCTCAGCCCCAGGTAAAAAACTGCAAAAATACAAAGCAAACCTTATATGTAATGACAGTGCAAGATAAGAGCTTCAACACCCTTTATAAGATTGTGCTAATTCTTTTAACTCTAAAAAACAGCATAGAAGAGTAAATAAATCAAATTACATTTATATAAGAAACTATCTTAAGTGTTATTTAAACTTGCATATATAGAGTTCAAAGGTGTAAGACAAACTATTTAATTTTGCTTTATATAAACGCAAAAATGGTAAATATATTTGGGAGAAAAAGAGGCTTTCACTAAGTACCAACATAATGGACTAAATCAACCAGATTGCATATAAAAGAGTTTCTTTCAAAAGTTCCATTAAAAGTAAAGGCAGAAGTAACCTTTATTAAATAAGAAACATACAGTCCCACAGAGCTTCCTTCCAGGCTTACAGTCTGGGGATGCCAGTGATCACTCCCAGTCCCTAATGATGGCTGCTAGTTACCTTCTGCTTCCTCAACCAGTTCCACAAACATCGGAAGCAGTCCTGGCCCTGGGGTGATATTCTTCTTCAGCTCAAGTAACGTTGAGCACTGTCTGAGGAAGGAGGGGGTGGCACACAAGTGCTCCCCAACACATCCTACTCGTTGACTGCATGCAAGTGTTAAACACTGTTCTTTCTTGTCTACTCAGTACCTGTCCGTGGGAAACAGACTTTTCCTTTTGCATCACTGTGGTGTTTGAAACAATGGCGCAGCTGTTCATTTCTGTATTAAAAATATTTCTGAGAAAAATGTTGGAGGAAGGAGAGGGTGGCACACAAGTGCTCCCCAACACATCCTACTCGTTGACTGCATGCAAGTGTTAAACACTGTTCTTTCTTGTCTACTCAGTACCTGTCCGTGGGAAACAGACTTTTCCTTTTGCATCACTGTGGTGTTTGAAACAATGGCGCAGCTGTTCATTTCTGTATTAAAAATATTTCTGAGAAAAATAAGGCTGCAATGAACCCGTGCTATAAGGAGCAGCACTTCAAAAGGGTGCCCTATTTTGCTCACTTCGCAGATGTCACATTATTATCACAATCAAGTGCGAATGCCAAGGGCTGCTTCTATTCAAAAAATACGAAACTAACAGAAATTGTCAAAAAAGGTATGGCAACATAAAGTATATAAATAGAGATAAACTGGTCTTTCTGGGGCTGAAATGCACATTTCAATTTTGTTTTAGGCTGCCTCTAGGATTGCAGAAGAAATAAATACCAATGAATAGAAAGCAGTGCATGAAGTGGGTGGTAATGACACAAACACCTGATGACGTATTAAAGCATGTTACTCATCACTGTGTTCTTGAGCACGTAAGTGGGATTTACAGACCCACCTTCATATGCAATAGATGCCAGGCGAGGATGGCTTGGCGGCTGGAGGTTAGCTATTAACCTCGGTGCATAGTAAAGGAACAGCCCAGGAACCAAAACAGATGAAAGAGAAGGAGAGAAAAGAAGAGCTTCTAAGAATAGC